GGGCCGGATGGGGGTGCTTAAGTGGGTGAGTATGTCAATTTGACATACTAACCTGTGTGAGCCCCCCTATCCCCGTTTCCTAATCACCCCAACTCCCTCTCCATTATTAAAAAAAAAACATAATGTTCATACGCAACTAACAGGACATGTACATGTACAGTTTCCTGTTTAGAAATGGAGTTCATTCTCAGTGCGTCCTCTTCAAACTTCACGTGCTACAGGTCACCTACTTGGAACATTGATGGCGATTTTTGTGCCCCTTCGTTCCCGGATGTTCCTCGTGAAGGTGCTTATTAAAACAACAAAAATAATAATAATAATAAATAAATACTTTAAACACCATCTGCATGAACTGTACATCTAAAGGGAATGGAGGGGAAGAAAGCTGCATACGATTCAGGTGCCTCATTTGGCCGGCGCTTTTCTCCGGTTATACTTTGAAGCTTGAAGCAACTTGGTGAATTTCTACTTCCCCCTTGATGGGATGCTCCTATCTCAGGGATACCCTCAGCATTAAATTTATACACCTGGGTGAAGAGAGGCATTGTGAGAGTAAAGAGTCTTGCCAAAGGACACAGCACAATATCCCCGGCGAGGGCTCGAACCCGGACCGTTCGATCCAGAGCAGAACGCACTAACCATGAGGTCACCGCGCATCCCAATGTACTGAACATCTAATTAACACTTCTTAAACTTCAAATTTAAACTTCGACCTTCACTGTTACTTTCTTAGGATTTCTCGTACTTACTGTTTCAAAAGCTTCGCACTGAAATACATTTCAGAGGTCTGTTTTGACTATTTTGTAGGAAATTAAAGATGGACTCATTTTTTAGTCAATATTCCCACACTGGCTTTATATGGGTGCCATACACTTTATGGAACACCAAGGTGCTTGATTAACATCTGTTAAATTATCATATGCATGATAACTGCCATATACCTGAACCTTGGATGTCCCTGGCAAAGCGCCTGGTCAGGATAGAACATGGAACAGAATATTCCTCCAACAGGGGTGGGGTCAAACCTTGGAAAGGTAAAGTTGGGGCATCCCATCCTGGAAGAGTAATTTGGGAAATTTACGAAATTCAAGATGTCATTTGCAGAACAAAAATGCTTCACTTATTACTGTATGGCCCTTAGACTTCTCTTTTTGTTTCTCAGTTATTAAACTTTTTCTGACTGTCTGTGCTGCTCTAACTAATCCTTGCAGACGGCCAGGACCTCTTAAAATACTAACCAATCAGCTTGTCTTTTGTTTTTTTGTTGTTTTTTTGTTGTTTTTTGTTTTTTTTAGCGAAAAGGTGCCAATTTTCTTCACTTGAGATTCCCAAGAGGCGCTTTTAAGGCAAGAAAGTTAAAATCATAGCGGATTGTACAAAAAGTACGAAACATATTGTGCCTGTAAGCTTTCAGTTTCGTTAAATGTCTCGTTCCTGGTAATGCAGAATGACCGAGGCTAAGTATGTTCCTGCCCACCCTACGTGCAGTTCGTTAAGCCTTTACTGCACTCGATTTTGTTATATAGGTATGAGCAAGTCCTGATGATAACCGTCTTGAATATTACTCATGGTTAATGAATAGTTGACGTCTAAGGGTGAAAGCAACTCACCCAGCCCTGGTCTACACGTTTACGACTAAATATCATCTTTTTACCAAGGAGATCTTACTACCTGGGAGATGCACAAATTGTCAGCACAGTCTCTCCGGGACCAGTTAAGTTTTTCAGGATTTCTTCACGTCTGTTGACCAAAAGAGAATTAACTTGGACAAAATAAATGTTGACTGAAACAGCAAATGTGAAGGAAAATCCGGTACTAATTCCTGAGGGACAGAGGTGAAAAGTTTTAAACGCAAATTTTGGCCAAAGGCAATACGTGTGCATGTTTGCTCTGAAATACTCAATATAAAAAACCTTTACACGTAGTTCTCTGGGGAATTAAGCATGACACAGATTAATAATAATACTGGAAATTTATAACGCACAGACTTCCACATCACGCTTAGTCGTGCAATAAACATTAAATAAAAATTACACTAATTAAAATTTAAAACAAAAATGTAAAGGCTAAAACGACATTACAATGAGGTAAGTCGCCGGATAAAAACACAAAACGAAGAAAAAAAAGCAATAGTAGTTAATCAGTCAGAAAATGAGTCAACCAATCAGTTTGTTTGCCTGTCTGTCTGTCTGTCTGGCTGTTTGTCTGTCTGTCTGTCTGTCTGTCTTTCTGTCTGTCAGTCAGTTCCCTAAGTCATTTAACACAGTTTTACCTCAGTTTCATATTTGCTTCAATCACGTTGAAGTGCCTCATGCATCCACCAAGTGGCTGACCAGGTGTTCCTACAGACAAAAAAAAAAAAACCTCGATCGATCCATTGATCATGCATGCATTCATTCATCCATCCACTCATCCATCCATCCGTCTATCATTCAATCAATCAGTCAATCAATCGATCGATCATTCATTCTTTCTTTCTCTCTTTCTTCCTCTCTTTCTTTCAATCAATCTGTCAATCAATTAATCAGTCAATCAGTCAGTCAATCTATCCGTCAATCAGATCAATTGATCGATTAACCAATTGTGGAGTTAGCCAAATGGAACAATCATATTAAAAAAAAAATCAATAATTAATGTATGGGCAATAAAGGGAGTAGGAGATGCTTTGTCTTTAAGTATAAAAGGGTTAGCATCTGATACCTTCAACCATGTAGCTGGTGTATTCAGGTCTCCAAGAAGCCTTATTATTGCTAGAAAAAATAATAATAAACAAGCGGACAAGTGTATTTAATTTATTCTTTCAGACATGTTGTAAATCAGGTGTTATGAATTTCATCAACAAAAATCGAAAGAAATGGTTACAATAAAACAAATACGTAATTGCTAGACAACGTTTGTTAGGCATAATATAAATTATATAAATAAGTTCAACATTTCTACAACAGAAGAAACCTATGGCTTTTGAACGTTAATAAATCAATGATCACTCCCGTGAAGTCTCTTCCATGAGTATTAGTAAGAATTACATGTTTCTATCTATATAATATTGATCTTTAATCCAATAGGCTTTTAGCAACAGGGGGAGGCTATTATGCGAGCCTCGAGCCGCGAGCTGCGAGTCTCTTTTCGCGAACCCTAAAAGATTCTCGCCAAAAAATCCAAAAACGGGTTACATGCGGGGTACCTCCATTATGCCAATACCCGGGGAAAATGGAACGACATTTTCCGATCAAACCGGGCCAAACAAGAGGAATAGGACTCTTACCATTTTTTATTCTTTTTCCGAATTCCCTACATAAGTGAAGAGAAGTAGGGCAGTGAACCGGTTTGTCAGAAACGGAACGGCAAATGTCTGTCGGAGCAGTCCGACCGAAATAAGTGGACCACCTCCAGAGGTGATCCCGAATATTCCGGTCGGAAGAACTTTCCATTTGACCTCCGACCGAGGTCTTTGGCATTATGGAAAATACTCGCGGTCTTCATGTGTTGGTGCACCGTAGCATGGCAAATGAGGCGATGGAGAGTTTTCCTCTGTTCTTTTCTCATTTGTACCATTATAGGTATTATAGGAAGGAAATTTTTCCCATCTTGCTCTCTGGTAGCTGCAAGCGAGGTAAACTGAAGTGTCGTGACAACGTGACCTTTCGTAAGTTGACAGCTAAGATCACGAGATTTCTAAATTGTAATTTGAGACACGAGTGATTTGTGAAATAGGTCTTTTCGTGAGAACACAGAAAATAGGACGCGTTGTAACACTGGAAGAGAATTATACAAGGATTTGTCGAGTACAAGTGAGTTGTGAGTGTACTCCACAAGTTTGGTACAGAGGTAAACTTTTACTAATCTTTAATTAGTTTGCAAGGAAATTTTTCAGCACAGTAAATTGTACTGACTATGACTGGGCCGGGCGGATGGGTTTTATCCCCAAACTTTTGAATTGATAGAAATAAGCAGTCGTCCAGTCCTTCGATTTTACAGGGGAACTATTAAAAAAACAACAACAACAACATTTAAGAGCCTGGTTTCCCAAGTGACAAAACAACGGACAGCTGGGAGCCAAAAAAAATAAATTATGAATCTTTCGTGGCGGTGCTTCTCGATATATCATCTTTGTAATTTCCTAAAATTCGCCTCTCTTGAACGTTTCCCTGTTTATATTGGGATGTTAGTCAATTTTACATAAGCAACATTTTGATACGAAAATTTGTGAGGGAAACTCAAAATTTCACTCGTATCTGAAACCATAAACTGACCTTCAAAATCCGTTTTGATGCAGACGGAAAAACTACTTGCGCGGAATTTCACGTACGAAAGAAAATCAAAAACTTTTTTTCTTCTGCCAAGTGTAGCATTTACTGAGTAAAACGTTAACGTTAAATTAAAAACTCAGGAAAGAAAAAAAAAAAAAAAAAAAAA